GGGAGGGAGGGAGGGAGGGAGGATAGAGGGCAAAGGAGGGAGGGAGAAACAAAGAAAGAGGGGAGAGGGGGAGAGGGAGAGACAGAGGGAGACAGAGAGAGGCCAAGAAACACAGAGAGAGAGAGAGAGAGAGAGAGAGAGAGAGAGAGAGAGAGAGGGAGAGGAGGGGGGAAGGGAAGAGAGAAGAGAGGGAGGGAGAGAGCAAGGGAGGGAGGGAGGGAGGGAGGGACTAAGATACGTAGCAAGACAGGGGCAAATGTCTTTGTGAGAAAGAAATATAAAACAAAATATACATACTTCTTATTTTTCTGTTCAAAGTAAGTTTGGTATCTCAAAATTGCCATGCTAAAATCAATAACAAAGCTCTTGACCTGAAGTCCTGGCCATGGAGATAAAAGCTTCCTCACAAGCCTACACAATCCCTTTAGGACACTGCTCCTAAACCACTCTTAACTTCTTGGCCTTTATGAAAGTTTGATGCATGTTAGATTACCTTTAATTTCAATGTGACACAAGCTAGAATCATTGTTGATTAATGATTCATGAGGGAGTGTCAAATCCACTGTGATTCATGCCACCCCTAGGTAGGTGGTCCTGGATTGTGTAAGAAAGCAAGCTGATCAAGCAAAGCTACAGAGAGGAAGCCGATAACTAGCATTTCTCCATGGTCTTTGCTTCAGTTTTTGGTTACTATTTATTGTTTGAATTCCTGCTCTGTGATAGAGTGTGACCTTACCAAACAAATAATTTCTTCTTAAATTGGGTCTGGTCAGTGATTTATGATAGCAACAGAGAAACCTACTTAGGTTAGAAATAAATAAAATTACATATGAGATTGTCAGCATGTTATTAGTTGCTGACAACATCTTGTGTACTGGCTTCAATACACAGACCACTTGGTGCCTCAAGAAAATTTTTCTCAAACATGATTATTTGTACACAATTCCATGAAAACTACACCTCATTTTATATTTATAAACATTTATGCTATAGTTTACTCAGCTTGCATTTCATGCATGGAACTTCTGGGGTGCCTATCACGCGTTTTATATGATTAGAGGTATTGATGGCTCTGGACAGATTATTAGGTATGGGTCTTGCAGATGTGCAAGTCCAGAATGCTCATACTTGCCATATGTTTTTTACTCAATGTACTCCTTGCTGATCAGCAGAAGAGCCAGTATCTGAATGTGGACCCCGGTAACAGGGTTTACTACAGTACTCAATTGACAAAGTCTCATCACAGTTTCCAACAGAAGAAAACTACATTTGATAAATGAAGACACTCACATTCCAGAAGCAGGGAACTGCAACTGTCCACAGAAACCATGACAGTAGACACTCACATTGGAATTTAGCTACACTGTCTTCTGACACTAAGGACATCTCATCCTGGGATACTGTCTCCACATGACAACATGGAGCTTTTCTAATGTAAATGGAGTGAATTTAGCTCACAAGAATAAAGGGGAAACAATTTCTTGTAAATTTAATGAAAAATTCAAATGTTGAATTTTGATAGATTTCCTACTTAAAATCATTAGGTTTGTCATGTGACAAAACACATACGTCTTTTCAGACCACAGTGTGAATTAGAATTTGATGTAAAACTACAGATCCTTTGTGGATACTTGCTGCCTGTATTGACACACAAAATACATTGCCAGTTACTACAGAGAATGGCATCAGCTCTTGCTTTCAGAATGAAGAGACAATATAACATGATTCTTTGCTTGATATAGTTGGATCTCATAGGAAAGATCTTAACCACAACTGAACCAGTAGTTTCGAATACCAATTCGTTTTGACCTAGTGATAGTAAGTTGTCTTGTTTTTCCCACCTTGACTCTCCTACTTCCTTCATACTGACTGTTCTCCATATGCTAGCATTCTCAGTCGTGAAGCCTTTATAAAGCATTAACGGTATGGAAAAGGGCACCTGCATCTAACAGATTTGTATATGTGAAACCATGAAGGGCCCTGCTGGGGCTTATCTTTAATTGAAGGGTTGGTTCCTTACTTTGGTTGGATCCTACTATGTTTTGTGTTTTCTTTGTGCAAAGAACTTCCTTTGCTACTGCTCGCTCAGCCCTTCTGTTTCCTCATCTGTGACAGAAGTAGAGACAATCCTAACACTAGGTTTGATGGGCTCAGGCTTTAAAACTTGTTCCAGACTGACCAGCCAGTCATGTGTCCGATTCATATCTAATCAAGTATGTATAGAGGAAGGGGGAGGTGCCTTTTTCCAATAGAGATTGTTACTGGACTTTCTCTAGTTGGACTCGGAGTGAAGTCAGAGGAACGATAGGCTGTGCAGTGAAATTAACATGTCAACCCAAGGGAATTGGATTTAGGTGTGTGTGTTTATATCTTTATTATATAAATAATAGACTTTAAAATAAAGTCTGTTTGCTTGATTTTTAGGTCTTTGGGAAATACGTTTTGTGTATGTTTTTTTCTTTGACAAATCATTACAGTATTTAAGTGTCTACACCTTCCTATTAAGTTCAGTTTTGAGGAAACCTGTGACACAAGTTTTCATTTACATTGACAAAGCATCCTCTAGGGTCTACGTAATATTCTTATTGAATGGAGCTGGATACTCTCATGGTCAAAGAGAAACTACAGAAATCACTTCTGCTGGATCTGCTACTGCCTTTCTCTTGAGACCAAAGCAGTAAGTGTTTCCACAAGTTTAAAATCAACAGGCCACCAAATGGGCAAATGCTTCCTATCAGTGATTCAATTTTTGAATGGTACTTACAAGGGTTGATGAGCTTAGAATTCCCTGCATCCCAAAGGCAGAGCTGATTCTCAGGTCTTCTCCCACAATGTGGCTTTAAATTCAGCCCTGTACTTTATCCTAGTCATAAAAATTCATAATCATGAACTGGGTTGTGTTCTTGTTTTACACAGTAGGATAGTGAGAGTAATGTCATCATATGACATGATTTTTTTTCCCAAAAACTATGTAGGGACTAGTACAAATAGACATTCAGTAAACATTTGTCATATGAATCAAGCAAAACAGTGTTCAACCTGTAGCCTCTGGGCTTCTCATGGCTGAGGATAGCTATAAATGCAACCCAAACATAAAAATTGTAAGCCAATTAAAACATGATGAGATTTCATTTTGCAACTTGTTTTGTAGCTTGATTGCATATTTCTGATGTGTGAAGTTTGCAGATGATAATATTATTTTTTAGTAGTAAATTAAAGAAAGAAAGGCAGATGGTCTCGATAAGCTTAGTAAAGTAAAAAGAACAATGATCCATGATATCACTTTTAAAACCTAGTTATTTAGTATTATATATTTTATCATTTATGTGAGCATTTCCTCATTGAAGTTACAAAACCATGAATTATTTTAAATATTAAAGCGTATTAAATATATTTTCATTTCTGTGAAAATTTACTTGTTTAAAGTAGGTACATAATGTGCTCTCTCTTTGGCAGCACATATACTAAAATTGGAACGATACAGAGATTAACACGGCCTCTACCCAAGGATGAGATGCAAACTCATGAAGTGTTCTGTATTTTACAAGCCAAAGGTCCGAAGTGAGGATGCCTCAATCCCACTTGGGAGGGAGAAGAAAGCAATCACAGGGGAGCAGAGGAGTTGGGGAGGACCTGTGTGTGAGAGCGGACAAAGAAGGGAAAGAGGGAACAAGATCAGGTTTTGTGTGTGTGTGTGTGTGTGTGTGTGTGTGTGTGTGTGTGTGTGTGTGTGTGTGTGTGTGTGTGTGTGTTGTGGGGAGGGGGCAGAGAAGAACAGGAGTAAAGCCTTGAGGGCCAGTAGAAAGAATAGAAACACAACCTCTGGAGGTAGGAGGTGGAGGGAACCCTCTAGAATGTACCGGAGACCTGGGAGGTGAGATATGCTCAGGACTCAAAGGGAGGGACCTTAGATGAAATCCCCAACAGTGGGGAGAGGGAACTTGGAGAGTCCATCTCCTGTAGAAAGACAAGACGCCAAGCAGAGCAGTGGGGTTGCCATCCCGTAGTCAAAAACTCTGACCTAGAATTGTTCCTGTATAAAAGAACTGCAGGAACAAAAATGGAGAAGAAAGGTTCAGAAGGTTCAGTGGTTTCTGAGGGAAAGAAGGTTCAGTGACTGGCAAAAATTGAGATCCAGCTCAAGGGGAGGCTCCAAGGTCTGACACTATTACTGATGCTATGGTGTGCTTACAGACAGGAACCTAGCAGGGCTGCCCTCTGAGAGTCCCAGCAAACAGCTGAAAGAGTCAGATGCAGACATTTACACCAAACCAATGGACATAATCCAGGGAACCCTGTTGTTGAATTATTAAAAGGCAGGAAGAAGCTGAGGGGAGGGCGATCCCATAGGAAGACCAGCAGTTTCAACTAACCTGGATTCCCGAGATCTCTCAGACTCTGAGCCACCAACCAGGCAGCATACACTAGCTAATAAGAGGCCCCAGACACATACAGCAGAGGACTGCTTGTTCTGGCCTGAATGAGAGAAGAGGCAGCACCTAACCCTGGAGAGACTTGAGGCCCCAGGGAGAGGTGAAGTCTGGTGGAGTGGGAGTAGGGGGTGGGGACATCGTCTTGGAGATGAGGGAGAAGAAATGGGATGAGGAACAGTTGGAGGGAAGACAGGGAGGGAGATAATGACTGGACTGTAAAAATGGATTAAAGAATAATAATTTTTTAAAAAGTAGTTATGTCATAAATTTCAGGATATATATATTTTTCCATTTTGATTTCATATTTACTTCAACAATAATAGGATTAAACTGGAAGATAAAAATAAAAGCTAAAACCTACTACTCATGTTTAATAAATTAAAGTTTGACCTTAGAAATTGCTTTAATGTGTCTTCATTAACCACATTCTTACATTTTGACTATATCTTAATTATAGTGTTGTAGCATTTTATCACAGCTCAAGATATTCTTATGGTAAGTAAACAAACCTCCCATAAAGTAATTATACCAACATTGACTTAAAAGAAAATGGTATTTAATATTAGTTCATATACTCATGGACAAATAGTGTTCTTAGCAATAATAAATTCCTTCACATCTTAGGAAAATTCATCAATTATTAGTCATTTTCCTAGTAGCCTAAGGAAAAAAGAGAGACTCAAAATGCTGAAAATATGACCTGCCATCATGTGTCTCAGCTAGTTAGTATGAAATATTTAACACATGCCTATACTGTAATGGGATGTTTATTTTCTGATTTGTTTAGATTATACAACAGTTTTCATATTTTAATAAAAATACTATTGGAACATAGATAATCCAATTAAAATATTTAAAACATAGGGGAAGAACCATTTCTTCTTATGCCCAGAAGTGGCCTGAGACTCCAAACATTGGAATCTAGACCACTGTTCCTTGGTTTGAAATGAGAATTTGGATCAAACTTAATAAGTACAGGACAGCAGTCTTCTGTGAAATCATGAGGATATTGCATAAAAATAAGAGATGAAAATGAGTGTCACTTGGAAAATTAAAGCATGTCAACCTTTCTTTCGCTTACACATTACTTGTTTTCTTAGATGAATTGTGGGCCCGTGTACTGCAACAGTTTGGAAAACCGAGTCTGAATTAGAAATTTCTGGTTTCTTTAACACCTCCATCGTGTCCTGAGGTTTTTCTGGAAGCCTTCTTGTGAGAGGGCATGTGGTCATTTGCTGAAAGTAGACATTTGAGAGGGAACCTGATGTATAGAAAGCATGACTAGAACTCCAAAATCAGTGAGAGGACTCGCTTGCCTTGCCGTGCCATTGCTGTTCTTCACTTGTCTTCATTGACCTTCACTTCACAGAGAGAAATGCATCCAAGAACATCCAGTGGTATTCTGTCTGATTCTGGTTGCTTCTAGGAACTTGTGCAGACTTAGCGGAGACTTGCTCTTTCTGCTGGATTGTGCTACCACTACTGTGGTACATTCAAGTTTGATGTTGAGACAGAGTGGAATCACCCCAAGGAATTACTTCTAAACAGGTCCACACAACTCTTTTCCTATTAACATTTTTCTCCTACCTCTAGTCAGTGGGTTAGAAGGGGGGTTGAGGGGTAAAGAACCCTAAATAAAGTAGGTTTTGAAAAACTAAGCCTACAGGCAGCAGGGCCAAATGTTTAAAATACACAACCTGTGGCTGAGGCTGAACTCCAAGATAATGTGTAATAAGACAATAGTTATGGGTTGCCACATGTCTTCAAGTTTTTTCGTGCAGAAACATTTAAATATTGACTATGTACAGTAGTTAGGTTGGGTGATGGTCAGCAGGCTTTCTTTGTCTAGACTTATTACCAGTGATAATATTATCTTTAAGTGGTTTTTAAGTTCAAAGCAGCCAACTGTTTTTAAAGGCTACTGACCGTAAATTGAACTCCCTCTCTCCCTTTCCCTCCCTCCCTCCCTCCCTCCCTCCCTCCCTCCCTCCCTCTCTCTCTCTCTCTCTCTCTCTCTCTCGCTCTCGCTCTCTCGCTCTCTCTCTCTCTCTCTCTCTCTCTCTCTCACACACACACACACACACACAGCTGTTGCTCAGTATAATAGCAGTAACTATAGCTAATATATGATGAGGCCAAATCAGCATGTTTCTATGCCCAAATACATCATGAAAATAATAGTCTAAATGGACCAAGAAGTGTGTTTCCTATGTAGGATTAACTATTAAAATTGGAAATGATACTGGATACAAAACAGATCAGAAATGCAAAGGGACACCACTATAGATCTTAGGGACACCACAGTACAGAAATATCACAAACAATCTTTGGCTTAAAAAATAGATCAATTCATTTCAATGCACCAGGTGCAAAAAATCTACCAAGAAATAAATAACTTGAATAGTTAGTTTAAAGAACTCATATAAGTAATTGAATTTTTTTAGCACAACACAATGTTAGGTACCTGGAATCCCTGCATGCAAGAGGACAATGAACTTAACAGACATATTTGTATAGTCATGTGTTTGGATGATTAGGCAAAATAGCAAAGACACCAAAATAGCAAAAATAGAATCAGCCTAGGTATTCATCAATGAATGAATAAAACATAGTATATATGGAATATATATATATGATGAATGTGTCTTTATGAAACTTACCAGTTTATACAATGAATACATATCATTAATTTCTTATGGGCAATAGTTATTCACACAGCACAAAGATATACCAAAAACTGGTCTAGCCAACATTTGATCAGAAGTGAAAGAGGTGCTCACAAGGGGTTAACTTGAGTGACTATAACAGGTAACAGTTGCTGAGAGAGGAAGTGGGGTAGTCACTTAAAAGTAGCACATGATCCACTCAATAATTCCTATCCAACATGATATAATCACCTCTCCTTAAACTCAGTGAGTCATCTAAAAATGAGAGGAAAGTAGGAGGGGGTCTTTTTGGACCTGATAATATGGTAACATTCTAGAACAAGGTCAATCTCAAATATTGCCTAAAATGTGGAGTATCAATAAGCCTCCTCCAGGCTGAGTCTTGATGGTGGTGCCAGCCTGTAGTTCCAACTTCTCAGGATACTGCATCAGAATGATCACAAGTTCAAGCCTTTCCTGGGTAACTCAATGAGATTTAGTAGCAAAATAATAAAAGGGCTATGGGTATAGTTAAATATTGGAGCACTTGTCTTCTATGTTTGAGGCTCCAAGTTCATCACTCTGTACATAAAAAAATGAAACATGCAAGCAAACAAAAATCTTCACATTTGCTTCCAATAGGATAGAGGTATGTAATCATCACTTTCTCATAAAAGTAAATAGTCTTTTACCATAAAATCTGCTGTGTGCACTCATTTTATTTACTCAAATTAATAAAAACTAATTTCTGCATAAAAGCCTATGTATGGATATTTATAGTAGCTTTATACATAATTGCCCCAAACTTGCAAGCAACTGAGAACTCTTCCATTCCATTCGAGAAATAGAAAAATAAACCATAGTAAATTGAAATGATAAAACAGAACATGCTGAAAAGGAACCTTTAATGCATGCCATGCAATAGAAGACGTCTGTCTGAAAAAGTTACTAAGGATATGATGTTTGGAGGAGGATGCAAAATTTATTTTGATGACCAAAATACTAGTGGTTGCTACATTTGGGTGAAAAGGAAGGATTAAACATGTGGATAGATTTTTTAAGTGTAGTGAAATGACTGTTCTCTATAATAGTGGGTGATTATCATTATATTCTGGTCTAAAACTATGGAGTATATACTTCTATTAAAACATCATAAACACTAGTCTCTAGGTGAATATGATATGGAGATGTAGACTCACCCCTTGTTGCAAATGGGCCACTCTGATGGGGGATATTGCTACCTAGGTAGTGGGTATATGTATGAGTACAAGGAGGGAGAAACTTGGGAAATATATCAAGCTGGTGCTCAGCATTGCTATGAATCAAAAATTGCTATTATAGCAAATTATTGAAACAATCATTAAATGAGCAGGATCTCTTTCACTCAGAGTGGTGGTAATTTACAAACCATCATATAACACAATTGCTGTGGAACAGTCTTAACTGGTGCCTCCTGCTCCGTATAG